TGAATGTATCTGGTTTCTTCTTCCATACACTTGTTTCCTTTCTCTGCTAACCTAAAGAGCCCATTTGTACTTGATAGAATGGCTTTGACTTTGTAATCAAGATACCTCTCTCTCTCTCTCTTTTTCAAAAGTTGACAAGTCACACTCTTACTAACTTTCTCTCCATAATGCACTTTATCCAGCCCTTGGAGGCTTGGGGTTGTTTTGTTTTGTTTTGCTTTTCTTTTTAATACCTCCTCTTCAGTTGCTGTTTGTTGGTTTATTATCCTATTTAGAAAATAGGCAGCAGAATTGTATGTCGGTATCAGCATCAGTGAGATGGAGGTCACCTTCCTATTGCTGTGCCTACTGGAGGTCATTGGTCTTTCTGCCTCACAACAGTGGAGCTCATGTTTGTTACTTCTGTATTAAATCTTTAAACCTTCTGAAAATAGAGCAACCCTTGCTGTCCATGGATGCTTGTCATTTCACTGTCTTAAGCCCCATTTTCTTTGAGTGAATAGGACTTAGCTTAACAAGTAAATGAGATTGTTTATGAGGACTGCCCTGTTTTCTCTCTCTTGTATTTTCCCTTTCCAACATTCTTTCTACCATCTGTAAGTTTATCAACATTAATTTATGAATACTTCTACATCACAGATTAAAATATTGAATAACTTTGAACCTAGTCTGATCACAGAGGAAATCCACTGGAAACATACCAAGTGATGATTTCCTATTCTCAGCTTCTTCATGAGATCTTTATTTTGGCAGCTCTAACTCTTCCTAACCTGAATGTCAATAATATAGTAATATAACATTAATTACAAGCAGAATAATCTGAGATAACACAAATACTTCAGTAAAGACTAACAAAATTACCTTTACACAGATGCATTTGCCAGTTAAATGTGTAATTTCATGAATAAGGAAAAGTAGGTTTCTTACATTGTTTTCCTTAAAACTCTATCAATTAGCAATAATTAAATTTGACGTTTTTCTTCTCTGAAACTCATGTGAGTTTTTTCACTACTTTGCCTGTTGTCATTGTAACTGTAGTCAATATTTTCCAGGGCAACCCATTTGCCATTTTTAAACATGACTGTAACACTAGCACATATTTGCACTTTCCCAGACAATTTGTGATTTATTAGAAAATTAACACCAGTGGACCAATGAGTTCCTTAACGTATTTGTTATGGCTCCTAGGCACAATTTCTCATGGCCTAGTATTTATTAATATTGCCTAAATTCTCCATAGTACTTCTTTATCCCATGGGATACAAATGAGAAAGACATAAACTTCAGTCTGCATCACGGATAGGAGTCAGGAGGTTGGCCAGTTAGATGCCAGTGCGGGGAATTAGACACGGGAGCTGTTTTTTGTTGGTTTGTTTATTTGTTTTATATCTGAAGTTGACTTTCTGCAGAGTTTCATGGAAAGAATGCAGAAGCCTAGAGATATTTTAAACTGGCTTGCACTATTTTTGATTAAGTCAGAAAATCCTTTAATAGCTAAAAGTGCAAGCGAAAGGCTTTGTGTATCTAAACCAGAGCCTCCAGTAAACTGTCAGCTTCTGTGGCTGTTAAGGTCTTTTCTAGAGCTGCACCAGTTCCGATGTCTAAGTGGAAGATCCCAGTATTCATGTTTACTCCAATCCTGGCCTTTGGGACAGTGTTTTAAAGACTGTCCGTAGGCTGGTTCCTAAAAAAAAAGCAGAAGGATGAGGGACAAAATTGATAGCAAATTGTTTTAGTTGCCTGGGATTTGTAAAGTGCCAGGATTCAGAATACCCTACTGGAGTAACCAGTCTGGGCTTTCTTGCAGTTATGAGAAAATAAGCTTGTTTCAGGTCATGAAGGGTTTTTGCAGAGGAAATACCAAATACTTCATTGAAAGACATTTGGCCTTCTAGCCCCGGGAACTGACTGTAGCTCTAGATCACAGAACATAGGCCTATTGGGGAGTTTCCTGTCCTTATGAAATCTCATCAAGTTTTGCCTGTTTGGGGTTTTTTTTTCTGGTTTTCTACGAAAATGAGACAGACATCTGCTCTCTCAGCCTCCCCTTACACTCCTGAGCCAGCCTGGCTAATACTTTTTTGAACCATTGGCCAATTTCACACTAAGTCCTAGTAGTCTACAGTTTCATGAAAACTAGTGGCTAAATAAAGGAGAATAACCCAAATTATCTCATTTCCCCTTCACTCCTCCACTGAGGGCAGAATACCACCATTGCACCTGATGGTAGCAACAAGCCCAGCAATCCCCATGTGCTTTGCATGTGCTGTTCCAGTGTAGTTGCTGGGGAGTATGGAGAAGTGGAGGGAAATAGGATACAGATTATTGCTGCAGTGGGGTGGAAGTCAGGAGAAAAAGGATGCAGCCCTTGAAAAAACAGATTTCCTTCATCCTCCTTGTCACAAAATAACTTCATTAAAATTCAACACACACAAATATTCTTTTGGAATTTTTTCATGAGGACTCTGCTTCCAGTGGGATAAGCAAAATGCAGCTTCAATGAGACCCCTGCCATGCAACCTGGCCAGGGCTAAATTCTAAAAGCAAAACTAACAGAGCACTGAATGCACATAGCAAGTTGAGGATCGTCATGAGAAAACCCTAAGATTTGCTTCTAGATTTTAGTATAAGTGTGGGGAATGACTTATTGTTAGGGTGGGATGTTTCTGTTTGTATATGCTGCATAAGGAAGTGTTTCTCGTAAGGTGTTAACTTCTATTGCTGCAGTACGCTGTATAGACAACACTGCAACAGTATGAGTGGTGAGGAATGACCCTATGTCACATTAGTCTTCAATGAGCTGATTAGCATGCAGGTGAGGAAGGGCTTTTGAGCAGATAGAAAACTCCAGCAAAAACTAAAGTAAATGCTTCTTTGTTCCAGTCCCTTAACGATCCAGTTATCCTTACAAGCCAGACTACTTCCCTGCAGTAAGGTGGCCAGAGATCTCCTTCATATCTATGTCTTTGTTCCATAGTTTATGTTCTTTTGCAATAGCATTTTTAGGTTCTAATGTGTGATCTTTTCTAATCATGTCATATAGATTTATACAAATTCTTAGACTCGAAGTTATCTTTGGCTTGCTCTCCAGTTGTCTCTTTAAACAGCAGAGACATGTGAATTTATATTTGCTAGATGCCTGCAAGAATACTTTTCTAGTGTCCCTTCTCCATTTGGAATGGAACTGCAGCTCGTGACATTTTTGGCTCAGCCTGACTCATGGAGATGAGTTGCCTCAGGGAAGGCACGTGGCTTTTCTTTTCACCCTGTGGTTGGCTGAGCACAGCACGTGTGAGTGAGGGGTCAGTTCTCTTCTGACATAGTTTTCACATTGTTTCTCAGGGGGAAAATTGTCATTATTTAGAGCTTCTTGATTTTGTGGAGGATGAAGAGGTGGGAAAAATTCATTTTCTTCTAACCCTTGTGTGTGTCTGGCAAACCAAATTTGTTGGGAACCATTTGAATGTTTTTTATAAGATTTGTCTTGAATAATAACATCCAGTTTTACAACAAGGGAAAATCTGAATGCCAAAAGTATAATTGCCATGTCAGAACTGAGGTCTAGTCTCCAAGGGGAGCCAGTAAACTCTCGAAGTTCTTCTGATAGAGGGGTGTTCTTTTCAAGGACCTTTTGAGGTCCTTTTCAAGGACCAGTGTCACCTGTGCCTGTGCCATGTCCCACATCACAAGGGATATATTTAATGGGGAGCCTGGGATAAGCCACTCTGGAAGGCAGAAGGCAGCCTCCAGTTAACATGGAGAGAAAGGTGGCAAATAGCAAGAGATGCTGGGAAATTTCCTTATGTCTCAGGACATGGGAAATGTCTAGAAAAGATCATCTATCCAATCTTGCCATTAATTAGGAGACACTGTGAGAACGGTAAATGGAGGAGGGGGGGAAGGTATTACTGCAGCTGAAATAAGTGGAGGGTGGAGGCATTCTGGACAAGCTAACAGCAATGGGTGGAAGTGCACAATGTCCCAGGCTGTGTTTAGGGGACAGGGCAGGCTTTCCAGTGAGGAAGGAGAAAGTAAGCCCACACTTCACCCTCACTTAATGAGGCATATTTGGAAGGGGAAAGTCTGGAGTGTTTTAATTGGGATTCTCCCTGGGGAGCAAAGTACTTCGTTGTTCCAAGCAATGCAAGTGAGCGTAAGCGATTAGGTAAACAACAGTTCTCCTTCCTCATCCCCCAACTACTGGGAACAGCTTCTGTTTTGGTTCACAGAGTTTTATTTTTTAAGAGGAAATGTATTTCCCTTGGGTCATACCAATCTTCCCTTGGTAACTATAGAGCTTATGTCGCATCCTGTTTCTGCAAACCCAGTGAAGTCAAATTTTGCTTTTTTGTCTGAAAAGAAATGGATTTGTTGCAGTGACTAATTTGATTGCCACTGATATATTGGACTTTCTAACAGATATTTTACAATTCCAGACACTTGTTCTCTGAGTAATTAAAGCAAAAAGAAAATGGCTCTCAGTGTCATTTTTAGACTTGGGCACTAAGCTTAAGTTCTACTTTCACACGTGGATACTCATGGGAGTGCTAGAGATAAGGCTGAATCAAAATATTGCAGATGGTCACTTGACAGAAACCCTCTTATTTACAGTCCTACACTACTAGCACTTTTGGAAAAAGATCATCGGAGTGAGGACTTCTTATCCCTGCTATAAGACAAAGAACAGCAGCAGCAATTCTGCTCTGGGTCTTCTCTACCCTCATCCATTAACCACTTTAGGGCTGCAGGGACAGCTTTGAGTACCCTGAGGGAACAGCAATAAGATTCAATTTATCTATCTATGTGTTTTTATTTTATTTAGCATTAATAAGGTTCCAATTCTAATGTTGAATTTTTGAGGACAAAATATCTTTTTCTAGCAGTGAAAATCATCTGTAGTAAGGGATTGGATGATTTGATGCATTCTGTTCCTTAATAGCACTAAGGTTTTTGTGAACTGCAGCATAACATCCATTTGATGTCTCTTTCCTTTGTATTAGGGACACTGTGTTCACTTGCCATTGAGAAGGCCATGCCTGAAGATGGGGGCGAATACAAATGCATAGCTGAAAATGCAGCAGGAAAAGTTGAATGTGCTTGCAAAGTGCTGGTAGAAGGTAAGTACTTTGCTGGATATGGGAAAACCCTTCCTTACAACTTCGTCCTTCCACCCTTTATTTCCCAATACCAGCCTTTATGAACCACATACACAAAAAAGAACTCTGCCCCCTTCCCTCCTGCACTTTTCGGTCAATGTGTAATTCAATGTCTACCATAAAGGAGCATGAGCAGAGCCAAGGGCTCTGGCTGCTTTGTGGAATAATCTATGTTTTCCTGCTGCCTACTGTATTTCTACAAGGATTTTAGAGCAGTAAGTTGAACCTATGAAGATTTGCTTCTGAGCTGTGTGCATTCTTTAAGAGCACGTAAGAATTCGGTGTGTGAGACTGGGCACCAGTCTGCCTCAGGACTATGTATGGCACATTTCTCAGTCTAGAACTTTTCAATTCTTTGCATTCAATGACATTTGGTCATTTGTTTTTTTCTAGTGGAAGTGAGTAAAAATAAACAAATTAGCAGCTCAACCACCCTTGTATACCATAGTCTTAGAATATGGACAATTTGCTGACTGAGGTACCTGTTTTCAGCCTCAGTCATGCTGATGACACTCTACTCTTGCCAAGCAGTCTTGGCCTTGGGCAAATATTTTGTCATGAGGTTGAGAGCACAGACTTTTAAAACTGCCATGGACCTTAAGTTACTTAAGAGACTTTATGTGCTTCTTATCAGCTCACCTTCTGGTGAACTCATCCTTGAATACTCTGACACTTTCCATTGTAACTAAAAAGAACACAAAACTAAACAAGCCCAATAACATCGATCTTGGGTACTAAGCCTTCACAACTGTGTTGCAGATGTGGTATTTAGGGCAGGAGGTCTAGAAAAGAAAACTTTTTTTTTTTTCCCCTAATGTAGCATGACACAAGGTAAGAACATGATCCTGTAACTCCTTCCGTAAAGGTCAGTCTTCACGTAGCTGGAAAAGGAATTAATTATACATATAATTACAATTAATTACATTGGTTCCTGTAATGGCACCTTCCATGATACTATGATCTCAATATAGTCTGGCTTAGATAGTTGATAAGATATTGTTTATATTTCTGTAATTTAAAGTAATACATTTTACTAGAACTGAAGTTCAAAGACGACTATCAAGAAGACGCTTTAAGCAAAATCTAGTACCCTGTAACACCTTAACTACCACAGATGCAGAGGGTTAAAGGATCAGATCATCAAGTGCTTAGCACACAGTATTTCTCCAGAGCTGCCCTAGCATCTTTTAAATGTCTCAGTCACCTATGTGTTTTTTCCTTTGACTTTGTCTTCTGATCTCCTTCAAGTAGTTGCTTTTCTTCCTGAAGCCTCCCTTAGCGTATTTCCCACTTCCAGTTTCCTGCTGGGCAATGCATGTTCTAGGAGGCTGGAGGTAGACTTTGGCTCGCAAAGTCTTGATCATGGGAGGCTGTCAGCTCTTGACATATTCATTGCATGATGACGTGAATTGCGTTACATCAGCTATCTGGCTCACCCTGGTAGTGGCACCCGTGGTGTTAGGAGCTATCTGCTCACGTATAATTGGACCAGAATGACCACATTCCTTACCTTGATACTGGCTGCCTCATCTGTCTTTTCCATTCCCTACTGGCATGCTGCTTTGTATGGCTGAGAAGAGGTTTTTAGGAATGGCACTACAGCAAACTCCAGCTATTTAGGAGAGACGCCATTTGATATCCCATGTCTGTGACTGGCAGAGGGCATGACTGTTATTTTTAAATTAGAATTGTGATCTAAAATAACAATTAAAATTGCTCCCTTCTACTCAGTCTGTTGTCAGCATCCCAGATGCTGATTTTTAGACTCAACAAGTAATCATAAATATCACTATATTCCTTTTGGCTGCATGGACTCAAATCAGATTGGAGGAGTGTTTTACTTCAGTTGTCAAATTAGCTCAGGGACAAATCTGTAGAATCTGAGTGTCTGAACTCAGATCTAGTACAGCCTTCTGCTCTGAATTGTTTGCTAGGAGATTCTGTCTTTCCCTGTTAACTTTTTAGGAAACTTAGAGAGACGAACTTTCATGCTCTGGCACCTAGACGTAGGTGACTGAAATAGGTAGTTCCGAAACATTTATGTTACCTTTTCTCTGGTAATTAAATTTCAAACAGCTATCTCATGCACAAATCCTCTGAAAGATGAATATTTGAAAGCTATAAATTGATACAGCTATTGCTGAAATCATAATCCAGATTTGGGATCTTTCTTCCAAACAGAAACGTCAGGATCAAACAATCTAACACGTAGAGCTCGTTAGGATTTGCATTATATGACATGCTCGACCTGGGATAACCTTGCTGAAAAAAGGTTGCACCTTCTAGTTGTATGTGTTTATGACATATGGGATACACATGGAAGAGAGCTTGTATTGACTCCCAGCTGTCGGTGGAGCCTGCAGTGCTGAGTAGTTGCTGGAATGAGCTGTGCAATCTTGACAATAATGAAATCCATCAAACTTGAGTCCTGTGGCCATTTTTCTTTAGGAATGAACCAATGCGTAATAATATCTTCTTGGAAAGATTTAAACATACAGAGAAAATGCTACTTTTCAAAATGTGTTCATCTATATAGATCACATAGACAATGGAATAGAAGAATGACATGACAAGAGATTCTTTTGGATGAAATGATGCTTCAAATATGCCTTTGTTTCCCTCTTCCATGCACTGCCTAAAGCAGCTTTGTGCACATTGTACTTTCTTCTATTCAGTTAAAATAGACCTATCAGCTTAGATGGTGCCTCTGGTAGAGTTGCTTTCTCAGGTTCTCAGTGCAGCTGCTTTCATAGAGGGCTTCTCCCTCTCTGCTCCCTCTTCCTTTTAGAATGTGACGTTCTCCAGCAAGTCTGTGCAGAAAATCTTTCTTAAAAACCAAAAGGACAGCAATTTGTTCTAACTTTGCAGAAAGATCCAAACCAAACTGATGTTAATAGGCAGCTTTTTCATTATTGATTTTTAAATAGGATTTGTATTTTATAATTTGTTTTGATTGCAGATGCCTCATCCACAAAGACCTCAAAGCCTACTGAGAAGAAGACCAAGAAACCTAAGACCACACTTCCCCCTGTGCTGCCAACAGAGAGTAAGTGACAGTGATTTTTATTACCTCCTTTTCACTGGAAACAAAAGAATGCTTTGGGATTCTGTGGTCATTCCCTTCTGTTTGCAGGCATAATATCAGAAGCTTGTGCTGTTTCTTTAACCCTTGCACATAGGTCATGTGAAATGAGTTTGCCTTGTGGGGATTAGAAGTAAGTGCTGAAACTGTGAGTTCAGACCTAGCCCACTCTATTGTCAGTTTTCCATAATGGTGCAATAAACTTATGACACAGATTTATTTTTGGCTGCCTCCCAAAGAGCACAGAAGTTCTCGAGTAGTTTGCTTCAAGTCGTGTTCTGTCCTGTGTAGACAATACACTGTCTTACCATTGGTAGGCAAGGTATCTGAAATGTCCTGTAGCATAATCTGTCCTTTTTTCCATGACCATGGGGAGTGGTTTGGTGAATTTTACATTCCTTGTTTTAAGCCTAAATGCCTTACTTGCTTTTAATGCTTTCTGAAATAACAAATCAGCTATAAATTCCCATTGTTGTTACTCTGCATACATGCATTTGATTAAGAGGAAACTTTAAATGGTAAATGCAGCACAATAATGTCAGTTTAGAAATTCCTAATACCACTGCTACTCTTGAAATTAAGTGTCCATCGGATACAAATATCTCTTAAATCAAACACTGGTCTTTGAAAGTTGTCTATCTAAGATGTCCACCATGTGAGTTCCTAAAAAAGATGTAAAGACACGGTTCTAATGGAAACATGAAATATTTTATTCAGCTCACTCTCTCTCAAAAAAAAGAAATAAACTATAATCTGATTTTTCAGCAGGACTCAGTGCAGTTTTGTACTGATTGATGACCACAGGTAATAACTGTGCTTCTGGAATTGTTGACTTACACAGAGCTATGCCCTGGGCTACAGCTCTTTCTGAGTTGCTGGCTGAGCACTGTAACTTTCCCTCCAGCCAATCATTTGGGGGTGTGGGAAGGGTCACACCGATATGCTCCACCTCTGCACCTGAGCTTCAAGACTCAGTGCAGTTTTGTACTGATTGATGACCACAGGTAATAACTGTGCTTCTGGAATTGTTGACTTACACAGAGCTATGCCCTGGGCTACAGCTCTTTCTGAGTTGCTGGCTGAGCACTGTAACTTTCCCTCCAGCCAATCATTTGGGGGTGTGGGAAGGGTCACACCGATATGCTCCACCTCTGCACCTGAGCTTCAAATGCTGTAAATAATAGCAATTAAGAACAATCATTTTGTTCTTGAACATCAATAGAAAAGAAAGTTCTAAAGCCATTTAAAGCTTCACGGGATAGTGTTTTGAAGAGTGTTTTCTATGCACACAAATGCATACATTTCCTCTGATACTCCCAGCAGTGTTATCAATTGCAGCTTTTCCAGGAGAAAGTGTGAGTTGGGAACTAAGTCTGAATATGCGGATATATGACCTGATCCACATTCTGCTGAAATCACTGCTTGTCTGGCTGTTGATTTTAGCGGAAATTGGATATAGGTAGCAAACCAGAAGCTAGCAACTCTGGCTTCAGAAATTATTGGGAAAAGAAGGTTGAAATAATGGTGAATGATTTTCTTAAGGTTGCTCCATGGCATATTATATCAGTGTTTAATGTTCTTGAACTTCTCATAAGCTCTTTTTTCAACACACCTTTAAAACGTCTTTCCTGTTGCACTGAAAACATCAAGGTAACCAGAGAGAATGTTAGGAAGCTGGGCTTTGGAAGAGCTTTTGGAAAACTTTGGTAAAATACATATTTAATTTTAAAAGGATTTGGCTGCAGAGATTCCCAGGTGGTTTTTAACATCTCAACCTCACTCTCTGAGGACTGTGGGTATTTGTCTGTCTGAAATGAGGGTTATATTTGTATGTTTGTCAGAGGCAAAATATACAAAACTGATCCAGTAGACTTCACAGTTTCAATTTAAACTGAAATCCCTTTCAGATGTAGAGATTTTAAAGTTCCTTACCTGAAAGATAATGGGCTTAACAAGTCAGATATTTGTGCATCTTTACTGTATTTCTCTCGAAAAGAAGGTTAATAAAGAATGACTGTGAAGTAGGATGTCCCAATCTAATAAGGAGATAAATTTTTACTCTCATCTCTTCTAGTCTTTGTTGCCACATCAACTCACCAACAGTCCTAATGGCAAGTAGAGTGTAAGGAATGATATTGAAAAAATAGAGAACAAAAATTCCTAATAATCCCACTGAATAAATTCTGAATTTTGAATAGTGAATTCAGTCACAACGGTATATACTGTATGGGGTACAGAAGCTATATACTCTCTGTCATTTTTAGAAATACTTCTCAGGGGAAAAAAAATCTGTATTTTTTATTTTCTGTAAGAAAGCGCAAGTCAAATTTCATGGTTAGCAGCTATGTCAACCTTTTCTTCCTTCAGATAAATTATAAGTGAACCTTGGTTTTTGCCCTAGTAGAAACCTTCAGGAAAGTAATTAACTTTTAGCTTCTGAAAGCAAAGATCAATACATTTCTTTTTGTGAAAGAGAATGAATGTTGTCAGTATGTTAATCTGTAGAATTTGTCTCACTGTGAGAATAGTTGCTGACCCAGGTCATTTGACTGCTCATTCTGACAACGTTATTTTATTACTGGAAGTTTGGGTTTTGTAAGCTACAGAAATCCAATAGTAAGTAAAATTTTGGGCATTACCTCTTTTGAAATGCAATGCATACTAGACTCTGGTTTAGACTAAGCAGTTATATCTCAGAAAAACATTTATGAAAGCAGCTTTGTAGCATTCAATGTTTAACAATATCTCTGAATGGATGCTTGCAGTGTTTACATGCAGAAAGATTGCTTCCATGCTAGCAAATTAGGAAAATTACGATGTATTTCTTTTTTCTTGCAATTAATATTCTGTTACCAGAATTTAGTAATAATTATGACTCTGCAGAATGCAACTCTGTAATGATAAATAGAATAAATAATAACGTTTCTGAGAATAACAAACAGATCAGCTTTGAACCCGAGTGAAATCAATCCTGAGGAAGAATGGAGAAAGGATACCTCTTTTTTTAATGTTGGAATTGGTTCATTCTTCACTGACTGTATTGACTTGGGCTTTGTCACTTATGTCTTTGCTAGGTGGAAGTGAAATGCTACTGAGTTAGAATAATAAAGTGTTATGTTTCTTCTATGCAGATATAAAAGACTAGAAGAGAGAGTGGAAAATTGGAACCTTTCGTTATTTATCATACTGCATACTCCATGGTATGCCAGAACAATCAGTGGATAATATAAGGGTCTTCTAGTTTGACATAATCCTGCAGCAGAAGTACTAAGCTAAAAATTCTCACCACTTGAACATTTCTCTAGAGAGCTTTGAAAGCATCTGCTGTAAAGGGATTTGGGCACCCAATTCCCATTGAAATTAGAAGTAACTTCAAATTAGGCTTAAAGGGAATTGCTTGTTTAAATTACCAAGGCCACCTGCAAAATCTTCTGTCCTGTGGAAAAAATCAAAGTGCTGCCTAAGATTTTTAGAGAGTAAATAAGGATTTGGTGGTTTATAAATAAATATTCTCCTTTTTTAAAAATCTTTTACTACTCCACACTTCCTAAAATTTTGTCCTCCTAAACGTGTGTTACGCTGAGGACCAGACCAGCAGTAAATCACAGCTTGAGCAATTAGCCCAAGATCACACATTCATTTGGAGGCCTAGAACCCAACTTTCTTGATCCTCAGTCTTGTGTGTAGTTTGCATGCCATGTTCAAAATACTATAGATCTTTTAAACTGACATCCCAAAATTTTACATAAAACACGAGCTTTCCAAAAGGCAATTTTTTTTTTCAAAGTTTTTTTTTTTCAAGATATACTGGGGGAAAAGGCATGTTACAACAGTTAGATGCTATTTCTTAAACTTCACCAGGGCTGAGCAGAGCAACATAACTTTACTATAGTAGGAAGAAACTTTATCTGAATCATAGCTACTGAGAAAAGAATTGGCTTTAATGCTTTAGAAGATAACCCTCCTAAATCTAAGCATTGGATTACAGTGTTTGGAAAGAAATGCCCACTGGTTTTTGTAGGGCTAATTCACAGCACTACTTCCAGTAAATATTAAGAAACGGCAACTATCACCTGTCATAATCAGTGGTATGAAAACCTAACAGGATATCCTGGATTCCCTCGCCTGAGTAATACACTTGTTAAACCCGCTGTTCTCATATCCAAACCGCATACATTGAAGGGATGACCCAGCACAGAGTTTGATTGCACAAATATAAGTTCTTTTGCTCAGTTGAAAATAAAGTTACGTCAAAGAAAAGAACTTCCTCCGCACACCTCTAAGTAAAGGGGCTCAAAATACATTTCTTAACAGTATTTGGTATCTTGCTGATATAAATCTTTAATATCTGCTACTATATAAAATCTGTTTGATTTCCTGTCAAACACATTTTTGGTTAAGTAACAATTAAGTAACAATTGCTGACAGTTGGCAATAAAATATCGCCACTGACACTGTCCAGATCAAATCCTCTGGAAGGCTGCACTGCTATCTTCACAGATCTGGTTTCTCAACATCGTTGGTAGTTGAATGCAAGGCTGAGCAGTGGCATCTCTGAAGCAGCGTGTCACAATGTAAATATGTCAGACAGGACTCTCTATCATTTTATATATTCTTTTCCATAGTGGATGGGATTCTAAGCATTTTAATTACCATGGAAAAATTACCATGGAGTCAGTGGCCAAGTGATTAGCACACAGTTCTGTTATTTACTCTTCAATAAACAATCTTGTCAGAGAATCCAAGTCTACAAGCACCATTTTAAGAAAATGTCATTAAAACATTAAACTTGATGTGTCCGGTTTAGATAATATGTAACTAAGTCAGTAAACACTTCAAGTTTTTTCTGGATTTCCATTCTATCAATATAATATGAAACACAGCACTGATGAATACAAAATGTTTCAAAATCTTCCTTTCATGTCAGATTGTTTTGTCCTCAGTATAAAACTTTCTAAGGGGAGAACCCAGTTACTAA